ATGGTCTGAAGATCGCAGTTGCACGGTTAGACTAACTTAACCCCCTGCGATACTATCATCATTCCGACCATGTACATTGACGTACTGAAGGGTACTTTCCAAGCTCCATCGCAGACGAGGTCCCATTCGGCCACAATGCTGCTCGGATACTGGTGCTCCCATGGATCAAACACATGTCCATGAGGACAGGCCTCCGTGCTGCTATTCCCGGGAAGTTTCTGCAAGTTAGTTCCTCGGCCGCTCCTTTTGTAACGCCGACATCCTTGCCGACCCTGATGTAGGCCTTCGTCATTTGGATCCTCAGGCCAGGGTCCTATTAGCGTTGCAGCTTCGTGAAAGCTTACAGCACGCTCCGCAAGGGACTTCTCCACCTCCAACTCCATTTTACACCGAGAACGAGGTACGGCGTTTGCGTAAACGGAAAAAGTGGCCACAGAACACGTTGAGAAGCAGACGAGAATGACAATCATGACTTGCCAGAGTCCGTGTGAACCAACAATTCTGTCGTAAACATCATCAAGTTGCAATAGACCAACAGGTTTCTGAGATGATGGCGAGCTAGAGTGCTCATCCTCACCAGGTGGAATTGCAGTGGGGTGTGCCGACATTGCCTACTTCAGACTAAATTCCGGAACGCCAACTATGCCACTTGCTGCTTTAGAGGGCTTTTTAAACCACCGAACCGGCGCACTGCTATGATGTTTGTCTGCACGCATTTGCATACAATTACTGAGATTGTAGATTAGTTTGCTGCACAGCCAATCAGTTTACTCTATTTGAGTAGGATGTAGATGTGTTCTTTTGAGGGTACAAGCCTCAGACACATTGTCTTTGTAGCGGTCAAAGGTGGGCGATATACTCTAACTGCAACACTAAGACTCTTCCGTCTGATGAAAGAAGGCAGTCAGATGTAAGGAGCGATTTAGTAGTACACAAGGCAAGTTGCCGTAAATCGACTGTTTGCTTACATGTGGTACCTGCACCCGTCTGGGAGCTTGTGAGCAGCGGTGTCTGGACGATTCAACCATTCGGGAGCGTTGTGTTGTTTACGCGTTTGGGTCGGTTCGTGTGTGAGTGACGGTCTGGCTGTGGGGCGCGTGATTGGTTGCGTCAAAGGCCGGTATTTGGGGGTCTGATGACAAGGTCACTTGGGCGCCAAATAAGCTGGCAAACGCGTCTAGCCAGCATTGCACGCGCAACCATGACGCAGCTCAGCTCAAGCCTGTGAGGGCCGGCTTGCTTTGGCGGTGATGACCGTCAGTTAACGGGCCTGCCACGCCCATCGGGACGCCAGAGAAGAAAGGCATTGAAACAACTGCTACACCGTTGATATGTCAGCTGGCTTTATTTCAAACTTTCATACATGGACAATTTTGACAGTATAACAGACTCCAAAATTACTATTATTTCAATTATTCCTAGCATCGAACCCACACTCAACTAACCGACCCGCTATTTATAACTCCAACGATTTGCACTATTGCGGTGCATCACAGTAGTGTTCCGCCGTCAGAGTATCTGACAATAACAAAAATGTATGTATCGTAATGGCATTCATTTTACTATTTGTTGCTCACTTGCATTTCGCTATAACTTTTCGACGTAAATGAAGCAATTTGAGCAAATTGTGCGGAAGGTTGATGTAGCAAAATGCTGGGCATCAAATTAGACTTTTTACACTGTCACACTAGGGTGGAGCAATACTGACCTAGCATGCATTTTTGGAATGGTTATTAGTGAAGTGCTGTTAATAAAATTGTGTAGAGACTGTTTAAGTGTGAAGGTACAGGATAAGCTTAATTTAATCGCTTTAAGTTGCATCCAACCAAGCCAAAAATGACTTAAATTCTGGCATAAAAACATTTTTGGCAACTTTCGTAAGCCTTGACACGACAAAAGTCTATGATAGTTAGCACGTATGGAGTACATAGTATTGTAGCATTCTCAACTGCATTGCATTTTACATCTCATTTAGCCACACATCCAGGTTCCATAAATGACAAATTTTAACAATAAAATGGACTCAAAGTTACCGTTCTCCAATCATTTCGGGTATATAGCCCACACGCAACAAATGCAACCGGCTATTCATAGCTCCCATATTTGGCATTAGTGCAGTGCATTACACTGGCAGTTCGTCGTCGGGGTACCTGACTGAACACTGAGTTAGCTCCGCGCCGTTGTTCTTGTAGGCTTTACACAGTTAATTCGATGCAGTTGCAAGCCCGTAAAAATAAACTGTTACACCGGCCAAGCATCCTTGGTCTTTACTTTTCTTAGTATGATTGGACTAGGCGTGCTAGATAACTTACAAGTTTTCATCGTGCAGCTCCTGCTAGTGCGATAAGTCGGTTCATCACTTCTGATCATATTGAAGACTGAAAGTCAGGCTGCAGTGCCTCCTTCTTAATGTAGCCTTTATGCCACCCCGACACAGCTAGGATCTTAGCCAGATGTGGCGGCACGCTTAGGGGCGGTTTCGGCTGGGCCAGTCAACTGTGCCCTCTTCAGTCTCTGGTCCTCTTGACACTGGGCCCAGGTGAGGGAGGGGGACAGAGAGTGAGGTAGATGCCTCGCAATTCTACTCTCATTATAGTTCAGCGTAAGTCGCCGTCTCTGTGTCACCCGGAGCACACGGTCGAAATCGACGTTGGAACTGTCATTATCAAAAACCTATACGGCAGATCATTGATCAGTATTTTAAACGACTGGCCTAACTGGATGAGCTTGACATGATTGGACACGGTGAGTACTCATCAAAGGTTACGATTATGGCCAGATTTTTTAATGTGAACTACAAGCTGGGAGTTTTGGAATTGCTTCCATGTCGCCTATTTTTACTGGTGTAGACTGATGTGCAACATTCATCCCAACTATTTCAACACACAGAGGTCTCTTTGATTTGCGCCATCAGGCGTGTGAGGTAACTGCAGGTCCTGAAGTGTCTGTTAAGAAAGCGCAGATGAAATGACAACTCGATCGTCCCACGAAACAACGTCTACCGCGTGCCATACGAAGTGGGCATAGAACGTGGTGGACTTGCGCATCATTTACGCCAATCTCCCCGCATTCATCTACTAGACCCCGATGGCGAATCAATATCAAGGCGAGCGAAGGCAATGGGCGACCATGCTATACGGCAAGTTCACGCGTACCACAACTGACATAGCATTACCTTGCTGCAAGCATGGCGTCTTGTATCGTGAACAAATTAGAATTAGAGTTAGAATTAGGAGGAGCCTTTACGGTAAAGTGCTTAGGTATACAGGGACACAGTAGTAATTGCACATGGACCGAATTAATTTGTCATTTGGCAGCTTTGCAAGCCACGGCTCATAGCGTACCTGATTTATCCTAGTGAAGAAGGTGCCGATGGGTCGTGAGAAGAAAGTCCCTACTATTCGCTCCACTCCCTCCTACCTCTGCCATGTCCCAATCGACTGTCTGGACTTGTTAGTCAATCACTGCTGATTCGAGTGCAGACATTGCCTTAAAGTCAGCACTTCATTACGAAACATAGTGACACCGTTTTTATTTTCTATGAGCAAACTGCCTGAGTGACACAGACCAAAACGTGGTAAGAAGAGCCAATTTAGGCGTGGGCAACAGTAGTTTAAGTAGTGCACCTCATATGCCCCTAGTCCCAGCATTTTGTCCTATGAAAATGGTGGTTATAGGGGCTTTATGGGTGAGGAATTAGGATAGGCAGTGGAATATACTTTAGTAAATGCTATATGCATTTTATTTAATTTTATTTAGAAATGCTGTTGATTTATAGCTGTAGATTTTCCTAATCTGTATTATCTAAATGCAGGTTTCTGGAAATTCCTGAAAAAAATAAAAATAGTGGTTAGGAGGTCGTCTACTTCAACTTACAGTTCTGGAGTTAGTTTAGTATAGTCCGCGGCCACGGAAAACAAATTCGACTACTTTCATGGAAAGGCATCCTTTGGGAAATAGGTGGTTTATTGCGTAAATTTTC